TAGCCACAGACGTCCTTGACCAGCACATCTACAATCAGCAGAGAATTCACTGAAACCTGGTATTATCGCTTGGCACTCTCAGGCTTGAGAGACAGTGATTACAAAGAAAGAAAGTTGGGGGTGGGGGGATTCATCAACAAAGTGGTATTTTCATTTCAGCTGCTCCTGGGGGCAAAATAGAAGTAAAAAGAAATCCCAGATTGAAAGCTTTGTGGTTCTCTCTGCTTCTCATGAAAGTGCTCCTGATTATAATCACACCTACGATTACAAGATTTAATACACCTGGTCTCAAGGATCCATCAGAAAGAAGAATCCTCATTCATTCCATCCTTTCCCGTCTCCTTTTCTTTATTCACTGAGTAAGCACAATTCAGAGGTTTCAGTCAGTGCAGACTGGAGACAGCTTGCAGAGTAGAAGATGGCTTTCATTCACATGACTTTTTAAAAGTGACAAATATCCTTCATGGCCACAAATTATTTTAGTGCTGGTGAGACATGCAGTGTTACTTTTCACTGGCTACTCACAGAAGTGAGACATCTGGATAAGTGTTTCTACTTCTTGTGTCACTTTGCAAAGGAGACATTTTATTGTGCTTATCTCTCTCTTTCTCACACACATACACACACACAGTTTACTGACTATGTGTGGACCTAAGAGTTTAGTAGATTTAAAAAATCATGTCATATTTCATATTTTTAAAACTAATGATAGTTTCTATAAAAATGATATACATTTGTAATAAGATCTCATCCAAAGAAAGGGCAGACATCAAGATTTCCACCACACTTACTGCACTGGCACTTGATGACCAGTTCCAATCAGGTCTCTAGAGCTAGACGAACCAGTACGTGATGCGAGGGAAGTATAAATAAGAAAAGAAGAGTGGCTAAACCTAGGCCTCTAGTTCTACAAATACAGTCTGCCACCAACCAGAAGCTGATTCTTCTTTTAGAAAGATAGAGGGTACTTGGGCATAGCCAGGAAACTGGAAAAGTCAAATGTATCAAAAGGCAGGATTTTTCTTGTTTCCTAAGTTGTGCTCTATTCTGCATATAGAAGGAATGCATTTTGCTAGAGATGGGGTATCTCCTGACAATACCTATCAAAAAATAAGTGGAAATGCAGTAGTTTTTATCATGCACTTTGTAGTAATTTATTTGATCAGAGGAATTATCAAGTATGATCTGTATGCATTTCATCTTCACCAAGGTCCTCCATAATAACTGGGAACTGCTCACCCCTCCAGGTGAGCACTCGCAGTTACTGAGCAACGCTAGTGTTTGAGTTTTAGGATCATCCTTTCCCCTTCCTCTTTTGCACCAGTTAGTTGCTTATATAATACCCATTTCCTGCTATCTTTCTGGTTAATTAAAATTCCGTTTTGTACAAACTTTTCCAGTGAAATACATCCCTAGTTTACCCTTGCAGGTAGGAAAAGTTATGTAAGACTGTCTGGTCAACAAAATAAAGTGGAAGTCAGCTGGAGGGTTCTAGGGAAACTAGTTTCTTTCCGCCCTAAAAGCGAACAAGCGAGTTGCCCTTTTTCCATCCTCCTTTGTTTAAATCATTCATAATGGCCAAAGCTACAGTATGTATCTAACAGCCAGGAGACAAAGACAATGAAGATTACAGAACACAGTGGCCCAGATGGCACTGAGCTGCTAAGTGAATACCAGCCACACTTACCTACAGATTTCTTGTGTTGTGAGGGAAAACCAAACTCATATTTGTTTAAGTCATTGTAGTTTTAGTTTTTATACCTAGCAGCTAAGCACTTTCCTACTAGATAAAAACATTGAATAAGAAAACTTCAACCTACTAAAGGCAGATGAGAGAGGAGGCAGAGGCAGCAGAAGACAAAACCCAGAGCAGTGGCCTTTTATAGCCTCAACGATCTTTACTGGTCAGAAACAACAGACAGGAGAAAAGAGGGATGGGCAAGAAATGAAGCATAATTAATGACAAAGTTATGCTACCAAGTCAAAGGTGGATGATTTTAATCTGCAGCCCTCGGGCCTGGTTTTAATTGGTTTTGGCCAAACATTCTTCTAAATGGTATAGCACTGGTCTGTCCATTTGCTGTACAGAGGTAATGTGTGGTTGTTATGATGCTGAACACTGTGACACTAATGTGTCAAATGCGATAATGGTTACCATGGTAGACAGAGTTTGGTGGAGCTCCCTGATTAAAACAAGCTTGGAAGCAGGAGTGGCATCCACTTCCGAAATAGCTTGCCTCCAAAATGACTTGCCTCCGGAAACTCTATGAACTTGGAAATACTATAAAAGTTATATAAGTTTTCAGGTCTTTCGTTCAAAAGGGTTGTTAGGAGTCCTTTACGACTCGACGGTACTTAACAACAACAACATGCTCATACAAAAGTGGTGTCAAGACCAGATATGGCAAACTTCTAGCATGGATAAAGTGTATCTCACAAAAGTAATCACTCTTAGAATGGCTTTATAGACACTCAGTTATATAGTTATGTGCCAGCCAGAGTCTAGCACAGTGAACACCAGTTAAGAAAATTATCAATGCAAATCATCTCCATAAAGTCAACTGGGTACAAGTTTCCATCAAAATAAAAAAGGAAATTCATTCAAGGGTCATGAGAAAAAGAAAAAAGGAAGACCTTCTTCATCAAGATGGGCTGACAGAGCGGCTGCAACAACGGGCACGGGCTCAGGCACACCAGCAGCTGTGAGGACCGCCTGGGATGAGGCAGCACTTGGTTCTGTAGGACACAGGGTTGCTAGACTTCTCTCAGTAGTACATGCTTCTCAATGTGGAACCAATTCTATGGCAGCTAATGGTAACAACATACTTAGCACACATAAGGACAAACAGACTTTCTTCCCATATTGGCCACCCTGGGAAGAAATTTAGCCTTTCCCACTTAGAGGAGAAACAAATTTTCATTTGTGTAGAAATGAAGATCCCATTGATTGGATAGACAACTAGAAAGAAAACATTAAAAATAAGGTCCTTTTCCCCAAATAAGCAAAGCACTCCTTAAAAAAGAGAAACAAGGTAGGAGGCATCTCACTTCCTGATTTCAAATCCTACTACACTGCCATGGTGGTCAAGACAGTGTGGTACTGGTACAATGAAAGACACACAGATCAATGGAATAGAATTGAGAACCCAGAAATCAGTCCATCTACCTATGGTCAACTGATTTTTGACCAGGAGATGAAATCAGTTAAGTGGGGAAACGATAACCTTTTTGACAAATGGTGTTGGCAAAACTGAAAAAAACATCTGCAGAAAACCCAAATAAGACCCACACCTCACACCATACACAAAACCTAACTCCAAGTGGATTAAGGACCTAGGACTAAAATCAAGGACTATAAACTTTACTAGAGAAAAGCTTGGAAGAACTCAAGAAGCACTAATCCACAACATGAACAGTCTTCCAAGCATCCTGAAAAACTACAACTAGGAGAGGATAAAATAAATGAATGGGACCTTCTAAGAATCAAAGCCCTATGCACATCTAAAAACTTCTCCAACAGGGTAAAAAGGGAAGCCACAGGCTGGGAAAAAATATTTGGTAATGACACGTCTGATAAGGGACTTATATCTAGAATGTATAGAATACTCAAGCACCACAACAAGATAAAGGTGAACAACCAACTAAAAAATGGACACAGGATATAAACAGACACTTCACCAAAGAAGACATTTAGATGGTGAACAAACACATGAAGAAACGTTCAAAATCCCTAGCTCTCAGACAAACGAAAATCAAAACAACCATGAGGTATCATCTCACTCCAGTAAGAATAGCAAAATTCAACAGAGCAGTAAACAACAAATACTGGCAAGGTTGTGGAGAAACTGGAACCCTTATTCACTGTTGGTGGGAGTGTAAAATGGTGCAACCACTATGGAGACAGTATGTATCTGAAAAAGTTGGAAATAGAAATACCATTTGACCCAGCAATTCCACTACAGGGAATATACTTTAAAGAAATCAGAACTGCCACCTAGGCAGATATATGCACATCCATGTTTATTACTGTGTTGTTCACGGTACCAAAGAGATAGAAACAACCCAAGTGCCCATCAACAAATGAATGAATAAGAGAAGTGGCATATTCACACAATGGAATACTATGCTGCATTGAAAAACAAAGAACTCATGAAATACTATACAAATTGGGTAACCTGGAGGACATTATACTGAGTGAAATATCTCAGTCACAAAAAAGACAAATATAGCATAATGCCACTGTTATAAAATAGGACTGACATGGGAGTTGGGAGGAAACTAAGAAATGAGAGGATAGATAATGTACACGTCATGGAAAGACAGGGAGAGAGAACTGTATAAAAGGAATATATGATTAGGTATTATTGACATGACAAGAGTCCAGAATAAGAGCTGCATAGTAAAGTGGTCTGGAGTGGGGGCAGGCAGGGCGGTCCACTGTATAACAATGAAAGAATTCCCCACCCCCAAAAAATCTATCAGTGGGGGTGGGGGAAGCAGGAAGGAAAATGTGCAACAATGAAGGATTGGAAACTCAAGTACTTTATAAACTTTCATTAAAATCGCAATTAAAAAATAAATAAGGTCCTTTAGTAATTCAGCATGAACAATTAAATGAGTCAAGAAGATAAGTTACTAAAGTTCAAGGACATGGTTAGTGAGTTTAAGGTAGCTCATTTTGAAACTTGCCCTTGCAAGAAGACTGTGAGGCTCAAGAAGGGCCTACATCTTTCTATAAGCTAGTTCTATGCTCTGATCCTTCTGTACAAGTGAGTGTATAGTCTGCCTAATACACTATTGGAGATGCAAGTTAGATAATTACATATTACTGGAGATGTGAACAAGATAATATTTCTGCTACAAAATCCTTGCTGCCAGATTTATCTGCATGAATCCATTTAGAGTATGGTTTAGGGAAGTGTGTGCTATCAAAAGAAGCCCAGTAAACAGATAAAGGACAAAGAGGTTGGGAAGTTGCAAATGGTGAGAGACTGACTTACTTGAGTAGCTTTCTGGCTGAGTCCGCGAAGCACCAGCACAATCACATGGATGGCAGCTCTGCGAACTTGAACTTCAGGATCTGTCTTAGCCACAGCAATTAGACAAGCTGTTACCTAAAAGTGGAGGGGGGAAAGTCAATAAAAATCAGGACTGAGCAATTACTGATAGCCTTCTGACTGTGCCCTGCTTTTTGACACTCTTCTAAGCCAGGACGGCTTGGAGAGAGCTGTTAAGTTTCCTCATTCTCAACAAAGAAGCAAAGAGCTGGTGGCAGAGCTCTTGATTCAGACTGGCTTTTCTGGAAAAAGATAAAATATGGTTTGGGCCTCAGGGGTAGACTAAGGAATGAGAAGAAATAAATATAAATGATGCTTTTTTTTAAAAAAAAAAAGGTAAGGTCAAGATGGGAATATATCTTCAAAAGTAGGAGGAAATGTTACTTGTCCCTTTTGGGGACATCACATTAAAGGAAGAGAAGATAGTACAAAACACAGCTGTTTCTAGGGACTGAGGTCGCTGGAGATTTAGCTCAACAGGCTTAGAAGTTCAAAGGCTGACATGACTATGTGTGTGTTCAGGCATATAGAAATATTAAAACTGATCTTCAGTATATCATAATGTTCTAATCCCAGGAATCTAGTATACATTCTGTGTGAGTCACCACAGGCCAATTTCAGACACTCCTGGCTTGCCTTCTTCATTTTTGAAACAGGCCATTTAAGTGCTAATTTACCCAAACAGATAACATTGTAGCAGAAAAGTGACTTGAAGTCACATACAATTATATGTCAAGGAACTGTCATAGTCTAGTGGTAAGGAACTGTGCTGACAACTCAAAAGGCACATGGTTCAAATCCATCAGTTGCTCTATGGGAGAAAAAAAGGCAGTCTCCTCACATGCAATTAACTCCTTCTGAAAATCCACTGAAGGATCAGCCATGAATTGGTTCCAACATGATGGTACATAAGAACAATTATACATCACGAAATGAGACAATTTCTATGCCCTAAAGCAACTCCCACTCCAAGTAGGTACAAAAAAAAGTATTCTAAAAATGTAATAAAGAGACACCGTGAATACAACAACAAAACTTTCTGAAGCATTAGTGTAAAAATGTAAAAAGAAAAATAAAAAGTTATGAAAGTATGACCAAAGGCAGAAATAATCTGAAGCCTTAATTATTCAGTTGGACTCTTACATATTCTTGCTATTTTAAAATTGGACGAGTGTATTTCTTGGCCAAAGAGAAGAGATTTCTAACCAATATAAGAAAATATCCAGATTGTGTGTTTGGAAACATGTATAAATACATATTATGTTTAAAGAATGGTTTTTAAAAAGAACGCAGGCACAAATTATTAAATAAATGTGTGTAGAAATTTTAACTGTGCAGTTGTATTCTTCACAGCTTTCAAACAGTTGGGCATAGTTCAAAGTGTCTAATTAATCAGTGATGGCAGAGAGATTAGAAGAAGCTTGTTTTTAAATATAATTGCATCTGTGATACACTGGCACTTAATCAAGTTGTACATCTATTAGACAAAACTTACAGCTTGCAAGTAAAATGAAATCCCAGAAAAGCTGACCTCGTTAGTGGATATTTTACTGTAAGACCCAGTAAGTTATTTCTGCCCTTGACTCGGAACACCCTGACCAAGGCCAACAGAGGCTTCTATGATTCGAACACTAATGGTTGAAGAGATTCAGTCCAGGAGAAATTCCCTGGTTCATCTCTAAACAGGCGATAGCTACCTCTATTTGCAGATTTAGTATTTACAAGGTAAACGCTACAATCAGAGAAAAGTTGGGGCTAGGTCTGAATCTTTGACACACATGAAAGTTCAGCTTGTTCAGTTCAGTGACTACAGTACAGAAGCCTACCCAGGGTCACAGAATGTGCAGATGCCTCTGAGCCTTCTGCCTGTTTCCCTGTAGGTTTCATTTTAGGTCTGTATTTCCACATCTGGAAATCAGGAAAGCTTCCTGTCTTTGCCTCCTCTGTCCCTGCTTCATTATGCTGAACAAGCCCTGCTTCTATCTCAGCTCTCAATGACTGTTTTGACTATTTTGCCAATTTTGACTGCTGAACATGATTTCACAGGATAGTCAGAGACTAGAAGAGGGCTTTCCTTTCAAGGTCCATTCTGTAATCCCTCTGCCACCTTGAAGGTATGGTGCTGAGAAGAATCGGCTACTGCAACTCTTGTTAAGATCAGCTGGAATGGTCACCATGTCTGCCACCGGCTGTTGGTAATTTATGCTGTAATTTGGTAATTTATTCCAGACTGTACCATGCTCATCTGCAATCAGCCATTAGAAAGAGAAGTGTGTTACTCAACACTCTACCAATATCACCAAAACCTATAAAGATAATAAAGTCTATGAAACTATTAAGTTCAGGTATCAGAATTTTCACATGATGCATACCCATGTTTACTGCAGCTTTGTTCACAATAGCAAGGAGTTGGAAACAACCATAGTGCCCATCAACAAACAAACGGATAGAGAAGCTGTGGTATATCCACACAATGAAATACTATGCTGCATTGAAAAACAAGGAACTAATGAAATATTATTCAAAATGGGCGACCCTGGAAGACATTATGCTGAGTGAAATCTCTCAGTCACAAAAGGACAAATACTGCATAGTGCCACTGCTGTAAAACAGGACTGACATTGGGGTTTGGGGGAGACTCAGAAAGATGGGATAAATAATGTATATTGCATTGAAATAGATGAGAGACAAAACTGTTTAAAAGGGATATGTGATTAGGTATTATTGTCATGACAGGAATCCAGAACGAAGGCTGCACAGTGGAGTGGACATGGAGGGAGGGATTGTAAAACAATGAAAAAATTTTTCCCCTTACTTTTCAAAGAGAAGAGTGTACAGGGGGTGGGGAGGGAGAAAAGTGCAACAATGAATGAATGGAAATCCAAAGTCTCTGTAAATTTTTCATTAAAATTAATAATAATAAAAGAGAAAATATAAATTGAGTGATGTTAGGTATAAGTTATTATTGATCTGTGGAATAAATACTGTGCCTTTTTAAAAAAAATAAAAAAGAATTTTCACATGGCCTTGCATAGATCAACTGTATTTTTTTTTAAGTTGCCATCAAGTTCATTACAATTCATTACAATTCATGCCTCAGAACTGTGCTCCAGAGTTTTCATTGATGGGATATTCTGGAATTGGATCACCAGGTCTTTTGTTTCTAAATGACTCTGAGTAGATTTGAACTAACTTTTCAGTAAATAGTTGTGTGCTTAACAGTTTGTATCACCCAAGGAATTCCATTCCGATATAAGAATAAAAAAACTGAAAGAAACGTCTTCTGTTTGGTCAAGTTTCCAAAATTCCCTTGTAATGTTACTGTCCTGTAGGCCAGGGGGGCAAAGACCTCTCATTAAACACCAGACATAAAGAGGCTGAGTGATCTCTTTCATCTATCCAATTTGAGTAAGTCACTCTCACGGCTAGTCTAGCTCACCTTCAACCCCAAGGACATACTCAGTGTTGCTCTCCACTCCTAAAAGCTTTGACCAACAGATAGGCAGATGATGTAAGGTCTTTACTAATTGATGAGTTGGTGTAACATTTCCATTCTCTGTTCTAAGTCTTCCCAGAGGGCAGAAACCCATTCTATGTGATTTCTGAGTCACCTGAACTGAAGGTCAATGTACCTAATAATAAACCAAATGATGGAAAACTCTCTCTTTTGCTGGTTCAATTACATAAATTATATCTACTTCTGAAAAACCAGAGAGAAAAATGAAGATTGCTTTGGAAATAGGAAAAGCTCAGTTTAAGCAATTTAACACTTGATAGACGCCAATAGAAATAAAGAAAAACATCAGTTCTAAAAGAGCTGGCAAATACTGAGCATAATCAGAACTATATAAATATAGATAATACAAACCGCAAAATTACCACAAAAATTCCTCTGCAAGATTCCAGGGGAGAACATGCCAGGGTTAAACTAGATATCAAAGAAATATGCTTCTATTTTCCAACTGCATCTTCACCCCTTTTTCTAAAGTTTCCTTTGTTAAAATTTAGTCTGTCTGCTATCCTGCCTGAAAGTAGTCTATTCCTTTATAAGAAGCCCTAACAGTAAAGGCAGTATTGCCACTAATTCACATGTCCTCGGTTGGCTCACTAACTTTGCCAAAAACTATGCTGCCACTTTAGCTTTGCTAGTGTTTTCCAGGACACTCATCTGAGGGGTCTTCTTGTTCTTACGTGCTGTCAACTCCGACTCAGTGACCCCAAGTACAACTGCGAACCCTGCTCTATCCTGAGCCAATTTTATCATCTCTGATACACCTGCCTCCCTTACCCCAGTCACTGCATCAATCCATCCCATCCAAAGTCTTCCTCTTTTGTGCTGTCCCTCCACCCTTCCAAGCATGATGTCTCTAAGGACTGGTCACTCCTTGCAACATGCTCAAAGTATGTCAGACAGAGCTTCAAAATCTTTGCTTCCAAGGAGCAGCCTACATTTCCTCAAATGTCACTAGCCTTGTCACTTAAGAAACTGCACTGATCTTAGCAAAGCTGGTTTACAAATTCAAATCATCTAGGGACCTGAGGGGGTAACTTTCCATCTAAACTCAAAAGTTGAGGCACGCGGAATTCTGGGAACCCCATTAGAAGTTGTCTGCTCCATGCACTTGTCATCTTGGGGCATTCTTGCTATAACTCAGAATGGCCTCTTCTTGGGGTTCACTTAAATCCTATTTTACTTTTATAGAGAGCAATAAAGATGAAAGAGCCTATCAGGATTTCTTCTGAAGCAACACAACTCTTGACAGAAACAAGGAAAATCTATAAAAAAGAATAATGCTCTTGAACATGTTAAATCTTGACACACAGAAAAACTTTAATTCCTAGTTCATTTCCTTTCCTTCCATTACAGGAGAGGGAGCTTACATATGGACTACCCAACAGCTAAGATAGAGGTTCAAGAGCTACAGATGGGGAGCAGTGATGATCCCACAGACAAGACCTAGTTAGTAGAGTCTATGGTGGCCACAGTTGGCTCAAATTTATATCAAAACAAGTTATACCTCTCCCGTTTCTCTTCGGGGTAACATCTGATCAGTGAA